TGATTTAAGAAATATTAAAGTTTATAATCTTAATTTAACTTGTTTATCCAATGAAAAAAATTATTTTTGGGAAAAAAATTAGACTTTTTGTGTTAAAACATATTTCGAATTTTTATAGAAGTTTCATGTTAATTTGTAAGTTGATTACAAAATTTTTTGTTAAAACATTTTTCTTAATAACTTATTTTAATAATTTGATTCTTTCTTATAATTTAATTAATATCATTTAATATTATTAGATGTAAACTAATATAATAATGTTTATATTCTAATGTTTTATAAAAGAATAAACTAATTCATTTATACGTATACACGTATTTATATTCTTATTGTGTATGATAAGTGAATTAGAACAAATCTATTTTAACGTGACAGTATCAAGATCAATACAAATGCACAATGAAATATAAAAAAATCCGGGATATTAAAAAATAGCGACCTTTGCTTTTAGTATTAGAAATTACTCATCCTTGTTAAATAATGTTAGTTTCTAGCGGTATATTGACCTTTTTAACCTAAAGTATATATTGATTTTTACCCTTTATAAGAGTGGCTCAGGGCAGTGTGTTCAAGGATAACCCTGAACATAAATCGGGAAAAGACCATATAATTTAGACTTCATCCATCAGATATAAACCTACCTGAATGAGGGTTGACCTCACCTACTCTCGATTTTCTCTGATACACATATACACATTCTCTCTCTCTCTCTCTCTCTCTCTCTCTCTCTCTCTCTCTCTCTCTCTCTCTTTCTCTCTCCATCTTATTCTGACCTCATCGGTACCCTTCACAAAATCAATAGTGTCGGTGTGCCGAGTTTACTCTACTCTAGAACCACATTGGAAAACTCAAATTTGACACGCGATCGAAACCGCAGATGAGAGAAAACGGAACTTCTGTGTTTACTTGCGAAAGTTCCCGTGTGGATTTTTGACTCAATAAGACTGCCTCTAGAGGCTAATCGACCAATGTAATTTTGCCCAAATAACGTAGAGCATCAATTGATTTCGAACTTTGGGGACTGTCCCTTTTTCAATCCAAAGAAAAGTTTTCGCGACTAATCGCAGCTTAACACGCTCAATGCCGGAGGATCTTTATAAACTACGTTAAATGCGTTCGTTGAAACTTTATTGACAATGAACTGCTTGGAATATAAGGAAAATACACTTTTGTATTAAGCTCGCCTTGCCCCGAGAAATACTGATAACTTACAATAATAATAATTCTAACAAATTGAATTTTAAACATACTGATTCACCCGTAAGTTTTACTTGATTTCAATTAAAACATTTTGCAGCATATTTGCATTTAATAATGCTAGTTATGAAGACAAATATTCGTCTGTGTTAGTAGATGATTACACGCAGAGTGAGTATTTTATGCTATCGTACAATATCTTAATAACTATTTGAGAAAATTTATTTTCAAGTTAAAGATCTTAATAGAAAAACATTATATAAATATTATATTTTTCACTTTTTAAATAATCGAAAAGTGGCCAACGCGGTCACGAAGAATTTGTGTGTATACTGAAAAAATATGATAATAATTATTAAATATCGAGAAAAATAATTCTAATCAAATTTTCGATTAATATATGTAATAAAAATACTATTACTTCTCTAAATTTTTAGTAAGTATTGTTTTACAAAAAATTAGTTATATTATTAGTTATATAAAATTAGTTATATTATTATATTATTAGTTATATTATTAAGTATTGTTTTACAATATTTACTAAATATTTAGAAAAGTAAAATTATTTTTAAGAAATAAGATCCGATCATGTTAATGTACAATGTAAATACAATAGAAAGCGTCAATAATCGATCAAAGTTAGATGTTCCAAGTAATACAATATTTTTGATTTATAAATTTAAGATATAATCGCGAGCGAAATGTTCGATTATTCGCCTGTGTTATGTATATGAAGATCAAATTTTCTCAGATGTGACTGTGCGCCGAAATATTCGAACTTTTAAACACAATCAATCTGAGACGTTAATAATCCCCTCCTAAATTAAATAAGAAACTTTTATTGTGAAAAATATTATCTCAATCAGGATTACTTCATTATGATCCTTGAT